TTGTGTGAGAATTTGGAAACTTCGAGGAGTTCACTTTTTGGAAATAAGAACTTGATCGTTTTATTCATGAGATTTTTTTGAAGCTTTGACGAGGTTGACCCTATGTAAAATTTGAGGTTGTGTGGGTTATTTTAATTGAGTTGGGATTTTAGTTGGCCTTCTTTGGGCTTCCTTTGAGTTGCATTTATGAGGCTCTTATGGTGGGGTTTTTTTTTTATCCAATGTGAAAGATTTGGATGATGTAAATGCACTATTTAAGTTTAGAGATTGAATATGTAAATGCATAAGTGTTGTGGGGCAACGTATGTAATCGAGGCATTGGTTTGGACTTGTTTCGACTGGTTTGAAATGTGGTTTGGAAAGAATACTTTTTGGTTGATCCGTTTGCGAAATTGGAGGAGGTGATACCCATTTCGGATTGATTCGGGGATTTTTAGGTCTTCATTTTCGAATCTTTTTGTCACGAGCTTTGAGGGTTGATTCATCCTTCGTTCTTTTCGATGTTTTGGGTGAATCAGTCCCTCCTCTCTCTCACTTTATTTTTGTTCTTTTCTTTTCCTTGTTTCTTGGTTCGGTTTTCGATGTTTATGTTCGATGCATAAGTGTCCACGTATAGTCTTTTGCTATACGTGAAACCATCAAGCAATGTCGCAAGTAGTCGTTTTGGGGCGTACGGTGTTGATGATAAAGGCACACCGAAGATAGAGCAGAAAGATGTCCTATCCTATAACATCAAGATCCAGGCATTTGATGAACAATAGGATATGGTATCCTTCACCGATATAAGTCTAGCGGAAGTTGGCTCGAATTTCCTCAGATGATTGACAGTCCCACGTCCGACAGTGTAATCGACTCGTGAAAAACAAAAATTTCTAAAAATATATATATATATAGGTTTTGATAAACATTTTTTCAAGCAAAAACATACTTTTCCACGAAACAAAATTGATAACTCTTCTTTGCATGTTTAAAATTTGTATGCATGTTAAAAAACATAAAACATACTTTAAAGCTGGTTGTCCACCCGACGAATATCTGTTTAGGCTGAGAAATAGCCCTCTGAGTGAGGTTCAAGACACACTTCTAGACGGTGGCGGGTTCTATACATTCGGGTGACCGAGTAGCCTTCGTGGACCCTCGAGAATATATATATACAACTGAGCCTAGTCCCATACGAGTGCTTGCGGTCCCCCTCATCTGAATCTTATTTTTGTTTTATCGAAGCTTTGGGACAGGGCACTCGTGTTACTTTTACTTTCTTTCGGGATTTACCCAGAAGTTTTGAGGATTTTCTTTTACTTGAATCTTTTTTGTTGATTTTCTCGAGTTTTTGCTTTTCCTCGGATTTTCTGGATGACGTTTTCTTCCGGACTTTGCTTTTTGAGATGCATTTAGGCTTGCTATACTTCTGGAACATCGGATCTCACGGGCGTACAGGTTTGCTTTATATTTTTTAATACTTTATTTTTTTTTCTACCTGCTACTGTTCTTCATGTACAGCATGATTATGTCATTTCTGCTTCTATCTACTACTGTATTGAATAGCATGTCATACTACTCTTGTTTTTTTCCACCTGCTACTGTACTGTATAACATGTCATATTACTCATATTTTTCACCTGCTACTGTATTGTACAGCATGTCATATTATTCTTATTTTCTACCTACTACTGCTCTTCCTATACAGCATGTTATATCATTTCTGTTCCTACCTGCTACCGTACCGTACAGCATGTTATATTATTCATGTTTCTACTTGCTACTGTTCTTCCTATATAGCATGTTATAATGTTCTTGTTTCTACCTGTTACTGTTCCACATGCATTCTACTGTTTGTCCTGTATTGCACATTTTATATTATATAACTTTAATCATGCCTCCCTTTTTTTTTATAGAGGACATATAGAGGACTACAACCATAGGGTAGTTTGATTTGACACTATAACTGGACACCCTAGAAAACTTAAACTCGTCACGTCGGTGAGCTTGGGGCTAGCGCGGTGGGGAGCACGGTCAACCTCAACAGCAGAACATGTCTTCCCCAGCAAAACCATCCATTTTCCTAGTAATTAAAGAACAATCCATAAGACTTTGAGGTTGTTTGTCTAGCGCAACATAAATCTTCCACCTTTTCTTTAGGCATTCGTATAGTTCTGTTGTACGATTTAAGCCCTAACTCGTTCTAGGTTCTGAAGTTGTCGTCCGATATGACGTAAACCATAATATCTTCCAGGCAATTTATGTGGTCATGTCAC